TAAGTAATTTACCAGTATAATGATTTGAGTCCCTAATTGAGAAATATTACAAAAGAATTAAAGGAATAATTATTTTAATAATAAAATTATATGCTTGCTATTTTTTTATATATAAATCAAAATATTAAAAAATATATGATTTATTAGAAAGATTAAATTTAATAAAAAAAACTTAAATTCATTAAATAGATTAATAATATTAAGGAACTTGATTATTCAAAAATGCTAATGAAATACATCTAAAAGTCTAACTTGGTAGAAATCATTTAATTAAATAATTTTGTGAAAATAAAAATTAGTATTAATTGTTATAGATATAAAATATTGAATTACTAAGTGGTAAATATGAGGAAAAAAAATAATGGATAAATTCATTTGATATGTATTTTACCATTAAAATTAAGATTTTAGGGCATTTTGTTTTATAGTATTTACCTTGTGATTTTTTTTTTATTATTATTATTTCTTATTGTAAATTTGATAACAATGTGTCTTGCTATGGGGTCTCTCATTGTTTCATTTTTTTCACAACTAATTACAATTGAAAAATGATATATTAATCATTATTGAAGGATCACCTGTCAATGCAGCTCGGACAGGCAAATTCAATGTCTTTGTGCAAGAGAACATTGATACTATGCGACGATCAACTGTAGATTGTATTTGCAAAGTATGTGGAGTCAATCAGACCCCACTCTGGAGGAAAGGTCCCGATGGTCCACAAGTAAACCACTTGCCTTAAAATTTTCTTTGCCTTCAATATTTTGTCCCTTTTTTTGTTTTTATTTACTGTGATTAATATTTTCGTGAAAGAAGTATGTATCGACTATAAAATAATCATTTTTCTAGCTCACCGATGTGTATTTATTTTGATCTTATCCATTCAAATGCCCAGCAGTACATATTTATGCTATAAATACATGGGTAATGCTATTTAGATGATCATCAACATGTTAGGTTAGCAATAAATGATAGCTAGGTCAAATAAAATGGGTCCACTTCTTTACATTTCTATGGACCATTAACAGGTTTAGTTAGCAATAAATGATAAGACAAATGATCCTCACCATATTTAGTTAGTAATAAATGATAATTAAGTCAAATTAAATGAGTATATCTCTACATTGTTATGGACCCATTACTTAATGTCACTATGGCAACCATGATTATCAATAAATGGCATTATTATCTCATATTCATTTTAAATTTATTAATTATTTTACTTTGGTGTATACTTTTCTTTTTCAGACTCTCTGCAATGCTTGTGGGGTTCGTTATGCTCGAATTCTGGAAAAAAAATGGTTGGGTACAAGAAAGAGTTGGTTTGATGCACCTCTCCTTTGAATGAAGTAAATGTGATGCTCCCAAACTTTCAAGTTTAGAATGATCTTACTATCTAGTCAATGAACAACATCATGGTTTCATTTATAACTTATTTATGTTTAAGGACCAAACATTATGGTTAAATATCGTATCCATTAATTCTATGTAAAATTAAGTGTTGCCCATTAGACTTGTTTAAATTTTGACATGCAACACTAGAAAATGACAAAAATACAAATAAGAAATAGCATAAAATAAACATGCGGTTACATCGTTCAGGTTAATACAAAAATGAGCCATCGTCTTTTGACTCAAATAAATTGAGTTTGTTGCTAATCCATCCTAAGTAACTCCCTTAGCTTTAGATCAAAGCCATGAACTTAAGTACATGTGCAATCATATATTACAAAATTCACACCTTGTTGCTGCATTAATTTTCATATTTAACAACTATGATAATTAAGTTAGGGAAAGTCACATACACAATGTATCACATGGTCGTGAAATTAATTTAATCTAAACAAGGAGGTTGTGTTAGAATGGTGATACCACTTGGTAACCAGGATCATATAAATTTTTCAATATATTAAAACTAAGAATTTTATTTCTGGCTAAATTTAGTTGTTCATCAATTCAATAAATATTTATTTATCTTATAAAATTTTAAGATCTATTTAAGACATTAACTACTAGTCTATTGATTACATGAGGAATGCACAGTACTTAGGTGAGAGATGAATATAATTAGCATGGGCAAATCCATGAATTTATAATGCTGGGGATGAGATAAATTAGGCAAAGTAAAAAGAATCAAACAATATATCGACAGTCACTGTCACTGGGAGAAGTCGAAGGAGTTAGGAGGATGGAGCACCCTTTGCCCTAGGAAATAGACGGCTTCACTGGCTTGGATTGGAAGGAACAGCTTCACTTTTGACGAAACTCTTTTTGAGTACATTCTGAGTCTCTGACCCTCACAAAAGGCATAACGATCTAGGCACTCTTTCTGAGAGAGGCGTAGAATAAACTTTAAGTACTTCGTAGGACGTCACCGTTTGCTCTATCGATGATTGCTACCTGCACCCACAAATGATGTCTTCGTCTTTTTCTAGTGCTTTTCTGAGAGAGGCTTAGAACAAACTTCAAGTACCTCATAGGACGTCGCCGTTTGCTCCATCGATGATTCCAATACTAACATTCACATATTAGATAAACACTTTATTTGCTTGATTAGTTTAGGAGTAGTATAAATAATATATGAACCATCTCTTTTGATTTCATCACACTTTGAATTTAATAGTAGCTATTAAATTACATTAATCTGTAATAAGGACGTGGGAATGATACTCTTAACTCACAAATCTTATTACTTGTATAACAATCTCATACGTCTGTGGGTTTCACGCGAACAATCCCCATCAAAGGGCAAAGAAAAGGTCACGGCATCGTCCGACACAGTACGCATACGACTTGATGAAGGGGGGTATGCGGCAATTTCAAACCCTTGAGCACAAAGCTAGATTTGACAATGTGGTATCTCAATGAAAATTATGGCCCAAAAGACAGGTTGTGGTAGATGAATATATGTGGTTTGAGATGACCTAGTTAATTCATTTCGCAGGATAGGAAAAAGTAGCAGGCGAGCCTCAAAAGGTTTTTTCCTACCTTGGTGCAAGAGTCTTACGCCAACTTTAACGCAAAGTTAGACACTCCGGGAACCTAACATATGCACTAGACATAAGTTCGAGATAAATGGATAATGTTCTCGCCAGAAGTAATTATGCTTACTACGGACTGACTAGGGACAATATTGTGCCAGTAACAATGAATATTGTCAGTCATTGCACATATGTTGTATGGAAAGACGACACATGGATTTCAAAATTGGTGTACTCGAATGACCCACCATTTTGCAAGGACATGATAATCCTTATTATGTTATTAGAGCCCAAGCTTAAACTATCTACAGATTGAATAAATATGAAATTAATGTACAAAATATGAGGGATTGGATCACTCTTATTAACAAAATTGACCTTATAATACGCAAATCTTAATAAAGTAAGTAATTTACCAGTATAATGATTTGAGTCCCTAACTGAGAAATATTACAAAAGAATTAAAGGAATAATTATTTTAATAATAAAATTATATGCTTGCTATTTTTTTATATATAAACCAAAATATTTAAAAAAATGATTTATTAGAAAGATCAAATTTAATAAATATTTTTTTGAAACTCATTAAATAGATTAATAATATTAAGGAACGTGATTATTCAAAAATGCTAATGAAAGACATCTAAAAGTCTAACTTGGTAGAAATCATTTAATTAAATAATTTTGTGAAAATAAAACTTAGTATTAATTGTTATAGATATAAAATATTGAATTACTAAGTGGTAAATATCAGGAAAAAAAATAATGGATAAATTCTAGTAACTAGTAATTTAGCTGTACATAATCTAATTAATAAAGAATTTACTTATAAACTTCATAAAACATTCTATATAATGCTGTTAAAATAATATTTAGGATTCTATTTGTTGAATATTAAAAGCCACAAAAATAGGAATTAGAAAAATAAAAATCTTAATAAACTAATTAAAATTTATATATTATTTATAAAAATAATTTTCAAACAATATACATCTTAAACACAATGTAATTCTTACAGTCCTTCATTCAATTTCTGTTTTTTGCTCACTGGTCATTGTTAACTAATGAATCTTTAAAATCGAACAGTGTTTAACGTTTCTCGTAGCTTTTTCTTAATTTAAAGGGTAAAGTGCAGATTTCTTCCCTAACCTTTGCCAAAAGTAGTAATCTTATCCCTAATCTTTTTTTTGCTTAATTTCAGTGCCCAAACTTTCAGAAATTGGCACATTTCGTCCCTACGATTTCCATCCAAATGAGCTGTTAAAAAAGATTGTGGACTTTTAACTGACTTGAGAAAGGCGAAGTAGTCCACTCACCATTAAAATAATAGATTATTAGATAATTATGTCACTACAACAAAATTAACTTTTTACACTATTCGTTTTACATCCTCAATCGTTTGAAAATAGTAATTGAACGAAAAAGTTAAGGACATAAGTGTTACTGTAAGCAAAGATTGAAGACAAAGTGCGATTGTGTGAAAAATATAATTTGTAATGTGAATATAATTACTCTTTATTTTATTTTAATAGAATAAAAATGAGTGGACTATTTTATCCTTTCTTTAAAAATAATTGAAAATCAACTTGCCTATTTTAATGACTAATTTGGATGTAAACCGTCTGTATGGTGAAATGAGCTAACTTTCAAAAGGTTGGGAACAAAAATTGGACGAAAAAGTTGGGGATGAGATTGCTACTTTTGTCAAATGTTAGGGACGAAACTGGTTGAGTTTTTGTGCCCCGATGATCAGGAACTCCTCTTTCTTTCGCCTGGCTAATCCAACTAAGTGATTATCTCGTGTTTTTGTACCCTCATTCCAACAATCTTGTATTTCATTAGATGTAGGCAAAATAATCAAAGCTATGTCATATCCACAAGTGCATAAAATGAACAACATTAAAATTAATAAATGATTTGACGTATCCAACCATCATGATTACATAACGTTTACCAGTACTAAGGAATAAAAAGAAGCTAAACCTTATTTATCCTCGTGCAAACAAGTCGCAATTATGCCTACAACATGCAGTCTGATTTAGCAGGCAGCCTCTTGAAGAAATTAGTACCATATGATGGAACCTTACTGCGCAGCTTAGGATGTCTTAACACATATAAACCAGCCAAAAGAGCCACAATTTGGAATGGTGTAACATACAAAACTATGGCAGCAAATAAGCAGAATGCAACAAATAAAGCAGAGGCCCTTGGATCTCTCCAACTTAAAAGTGACTGAAATCTTTCCCCTTGCATTGCCAAATCACCAATAACAGTCTGAATCCTTCCTCCTATACTCCTCAGACGGTCATATCTCATTCGCACTAATGCAGATCCCTTTGAAGTTGGGAACGTATCAAATTCTTCATCCAACTCGTCTGGACCTACCGCATCAGCGTGAGAAAGCCGAATGTCCATGTGAGGAGGGTGTCTTGGTTTCCATCGGTAGCGCCAGATGCCAATAAAGAAGAGGTAGAGAAACAACGTCGGAAAAATCAGTTCGGGATAAAGGACTAGTATAACAAAGAGTATGTGAATAAGAATAGTTGTTAGGGGATTTTTCCAGTGGCATATTTGATCAAACCATTTGCCTATAGCAAGCACCCCTCCCATTACATTCATTATTCTCATGAAGTTTGCTTTAGCCTTTCTTACACTCCAAATGTGTGATCCAACGTCAAGCATATACTCAATGACCTCTTTCTTCAGCGGTGGCTCGGCTCGACCCAACCTTATCGAGACTATTTGAATAGCCTGATGCCTTAAGATATCCAACTGAGTTACCGACAATGGATGAACATAATGCATTTTCGGTAACAATGGATGCGTGTACTTGTGTAGCATGTTGAGATAAGACGTACACGAGAACCTGACGGCTAATTGAACTTCACCCATCTTTTTCACACCGGAAGGTTTCAAGACAACTAGAGGATATGAGTGTGTATAAACACGTTCTGTTTCAAGGGTCGATAGCCTAATCCTAACCTTTCCAATGCACCCATCCTTTCCCCCTCCTTGTAAATGGCCATTATCAAACACCCCAATTGTAATCACAGTACAAGGATCGAATACTTCCCAGGTGTACTGTTCATTCCATCTAGGGGACGTACTATCGATGATTGTCCTGGTCCGGATCCATTTTGGACCGTATTTGGCTACACAATACGCATCACTAGTTCCCCTGCCATCTTTCGTCTTCATTGTTGAAAGGCCAGTGGCGCTTATTACTCCCAGCTCAAGAATTCCAATGCTGGATTTCCATAGCAGCTTTGAAGTCGGTCTGTGATCACTGCTATAATACGTAGACTCGTCCAATACGTGATAGCCACCATCCAAACTGATCCTCATATGAATCTTACTAGCAAATTTAATCTCCTTCTTTTCCCCTTCGACGAAATGTTTCTCAAGATTATGCCACTTGGCCCCGACAGGCTTATTATCCAGCCTCCTCGGGACAGAGTTTAACAACATTAAACACTTTCCTAAGATCTCATCTTTGTTAGATGAAACTCTATCCTCCACAGTTATAACCAAAGGCTCCTCGAATGGTTCCGCAACGACAAATACCAAATCCTCATTCCATGCTGGATTCGCACTCTTCACAGGAGAAATCTTAGTTTTCAAAGCCTGATTTCCTAGAACGACCTTCACACAAACTTCAGGAGGTCTACTTTTATCACTTATAATCAAATCTTGACACTGGATTATATTCACTCGTAAATACCATAGCCTTGGAGAAATATATATCTTTCCACGAATTCTTGAAATGCCATCGCTCCCGACTGCTGCTGCATCAGAATGCCAAGCATCGGAAAACGCCTCATCTGCCTGAGTTCCTTTCCAAAGGGCAAGCATAATTTCACCCTTCTTCAGTTTTTCCCCTTTCTTATCTTCCAATTTATACCACTGCGGTGCCAAAGGACTATCTGGAGGAACTCGTCTAGGGATATCGACAAGACCAAAGGAAATCCCACCAATGAAATCGTCTAACACGACATCCTTATCTTTCACAACCACTTCAACAGATGATGCTTGAAGCTGATCCTGGGAAAAAGCAAAGACAAGATTCCACTCGGGATTCGACTTTTTTTCAAAATGTTTTGTGACTCCCTTGTAGTTACCTAGCTTGACTTCAACATAAGGATCACAAGAACCAGTAACGTCCTTTGCAGGTAATTCTTTTGCTTTAACAACCCGAACATACAGATATTCCATCTGTTCAACAAGATCATAGGCACAAATGACCTTATCACCACCAACAATCACCCCTGAGCCAGCAATTTTTGGGGCCGTTGGCTTCAGAGCAAACTCTTCATTTACTGGAAACTTATGCATTTTGTTCTCTCTTTGTAGAGTTATCGATAAACAAGATTCAGTTTCTAATACCCTAAAACTGCAGAAGAATCAACTGTTGGTACTTGAACTGCACAAGAATATTACAAAGTATTAGATGATCGGAAAAAGAAAAAACAAGTTGTAATCCTGTCCACTGTACCTGTACTATCGAGTCATGTTCAGTACCATGCACTATGCACCATGTTCAATCAGAATATCCTGTACAGTCAATGCTATTGATCAATTTTCAATAATCAGAGAAAATAACCGCAAGAATCTCAGTTTGAACTTACATGACATTGAAACGAAATTGATACACGTCATGGGGTGGTGCGGATTTGGGGGCTGCTGCAGCTCACTACAGCGAATCTGCCTTCCTATGACGGTAAACAGACAACGGAAAAAATAATAAATAAATAAAATATGTGCCAAATCTTCTGTGATTGTGTGTGTTTGTGTGAGAGGGAGATGGGCTGATGACTTGCCTGAGGAGACAAACTTATGAGGGTTGTTTTGAGTAGCCACAACTATATTTAGAAAATCAGTGCCAATATTTTGTAATAGAATTATTAGTTTTATAGGGCATATGGGCTGTGAAAGTTGGAATAATAGGGAAAGAATTATAGAGTTGTTAAGAAACAGTCTTTAAGAATCTTGTTGAGCTACAATGACAATCAGAATAAAACCAACTGATTCTACCTTTTACAGTACAACGATTCTCTTATCTTCTTTCTTACAGCATTTCATCAGTTGCACGTGTTGGTTTTGTTCAGTTGGTTGAACTTCTTTTTACATATTATTTCAACTAGACTGTCCCACTTCGTTCATCATCATCGATTTGTAAGAACGATGTGTGAATGAAAGATGTTATATCAGAACATATTATTGTGATTATTACCGCTTGGACCATGCTACAAGTAAATAATCATTTACATAATACATTACATAATTGACATGTGGCACGCATCCATCGGTAGTCTACAATTTTTTACTTTTCCACAGTTCACATCAACGGCCGAATTTCTTCCACATGGGCCTATATAATCCATTACGTACAATAATTATCTACGTATATACACAAAATAATCTAAGTATATTCCAATTTAAAAAAAAAAATGAACTAGTCCTACTAAAAGCAAAAGATCAGAATATATTACCCACTGAAAGTGTCAAATTAAGGCAGGGAGTTCATCTGTCTCGCTTTTTGAGGAAATTTCTTAAAAGGGGTAGTTTAAGAAAATAAAAATAACTTTAAAAAAAAAAGGTTATTTACCAAAGGCCTTTCTTTAAGAAATTTCTCAGAATTCAACACTTTTGTCCCCCTTACTGAAAATGATTATTTTCTCATTTGTTTTTCAAAATGACACAAAAGTACGAGAAGAGGTAGACGAGCAAGAGACGCAGGTTGCATCACAAATCATCAACTCGAACAGAGGTCGAGTAGTGAAGTAGTGTTCACTTTACCAAAGGTTGAGTTTTCGAGACATAACATTACTCTATTTATTAAGAGCAAAACAGATATTTTGTAAAACTTTCAAGAATAAGGGAAAATTGCAGTCAAGATATCAAATCTTTCATTTAATAGTAGATTTTGTTCAAATTTTTTATTTGTGTCACCCATGGTAGCAGACCTTTCAAAATGTAGCAGCTAGAATTCAAATTGATGGCCGTTAGGCGTTAGTTGACCGGAATAGTAAAAAATGATCAAATCTTACAAGGGTAAAATAGTAAGTTTATAATTTTAATATAAAATAATTATACTAATTAGAAAAAGAAAAAAAAATAAGCGGCAGAGGCTATTTTCTTTTTCTGCTATTTTCAAATCTGGACGTAATTTTTGAGATTACTAGCTTGTTAATCTTAAAATATGTTCCCAGTTTCCAGGTTTTAGATGCCTTTTAATGTTTGGTGTGGTGGAAGAGTCCATGATTCCAAAGGGTATATGGTTCAACGAGAGAAGAAGCCAATCTGGAATTATTACTCTGCAAAGGTTGCTTGTATGTAAAAAATTTCAACTAAGTCAGTTCTTAGAACTGATAATGCCGATTTTTATTTTCCTTTTTCCAGATATGGAGCTTTACAATGAAGTCTGCTTGCTGCAAACATGAGATTGTTATTGATAGGTTAGGGTAGAGTAGATTGGGGTGCGGGGGCATATGAGGAAGAAAAAAAATCTTCTTTTTTTTTTTGCCTTTTTCTTTTTCTAACTATTATAATTACTTTATATTAAAATTGTAAACTTACTATTTTGTCCTTATTAGATTTGGTCAGTTTTTACTATTCTAGTCTACTAATTTGGACTCCAACTACTGCATTTTGAAATGTTAGGTACCGTTGATGGTACAAATGAAAGGTTTGGACAATACCTGCTACTAAATGAAAAGTTTGGTACTCTGGCTGCAATTTTCCCTAATAATGCTATTTTGATCAAAAAATCTTAAACGAATGTTATTTTTCATCGTGACCTTAATGAAACAATGCCCTTTTAAAAAAAAAAAAAAATTTCTCTTCCCCTTTTCACAATCTCTCATAGTAATGCAAGTCCAGAAAAGAATATTCCAACTAGTTTCATTTTCATGAATGGTTGGTCCATCTCCATAAATTTCTTGAAAAGAAAAAAGCTTCCAATGGGACCAAAAGCAACCACTAGACTCAATCAATAGCGTGTAGTTTTAGTCTCTCATCAATAGTCTACATGTTCTTAGGAAGAAATTGTCACTTTCCATTGATAGATAGAAAAATTATGAGAAATAAATGTTGTTAGGTTTGGTTAGTTGAGAAACCAAGTTATTTTCTTCTCCATCCACTTGACATCTTATCTTCTAATTTTTTTAAATTTGATTGGATATCGTGTAAACCCTTTGATAATCTTTGTAGATAGTCTACCATTTCCACTTGAAACTGGAATGAGTACCAATTATGCAAGTATGTCAAGGTGTAAGGTGACACCCCGGGGCTTCGAGGGCCCAGGCTGTACCCAGCTTTCTTTTGGAAATTAAAGAAGCTCGACTGAAATGCAAAGGTTAAATACCTCGATCTACTAGGCAACGCGCCAAAAAATCTAAGATGGCTGTACTGTTTGCTGTTGGTGTGGCAGCTTGGTTCTCCAAGTGCTCATTTCCATATAGATTGAAAACCATGGATGCAACTTTTCTTTCTTATTGCTATTATTCAGCATAAGTACATTCATTATTTGATCAATGTAACACAAAAAATAATAAGTAAATTCCTTAATCTGAATCAGTTCCAACAAAATCATATAATAACATAAAGTATCTTCATTATTGTATTCCTTAATCATAATCCAAATCCATTATTTCTGCCCCAACCCCCTCTTTTAATAGCTTATCTGGGCAGGCCTTTTTTCCAGGATTGAAGGGCCGTACTAATTCTTCACTGCATCATCCATGAACACTTGAACTTGAGAAGGTGAACCTAAAACCTTTTCACTTGGACCGGTGCTCCTTGTCTCTTTCCAGATTCAAGCATTGCATCTAAAACAGCAATATCCCGGGCACCTTCAAGGTACGAGAGGCGTGGCTCAGCTTGGTAGCTTTGATTTTTCTGCTAATAGTCGAATATGGGACCAATGAAATGCACATAGAGATATGTGTATGCATAAAAAAAGGAACGAATAACGCAGATTATGTCGTAAACAGATATATTTAGCATTACAAGAAGGAGAAAATGTTACTTTATTCAAAAATATTTTAAGTTTTTATAGGTAATTTTAAAGGGAAAATTGCAGCACGGGCTCCAAATTTTGGCCAAATCGTCGGATAACAAATATGCCTCTAGGCACTAGCCCAAGTTGGAAAACAAGATTTACCTTCATAAAGTTGGATGTGCGAAGGTCACATGATGGGTCAACACAGATTTAAACATTTCATCTTTGAGAACTAATTTTGCGACTATAATGAAAGGTTTTGGATCAACTTGCTCATTTTTAAAGGGTGGAGGCTTACTACTTAGACAACAGGTTGGGGAACAACTATACCACCTTCCCAAATTTTTATAGGTATATTTTTATGAATATCAATGGCAGTTATGTTTGTTACTGGATGAAAGTAATACATTTAACAAATAAAAATGATTCGCTACCCCGAAAAGGGAGATTGCTAGGTAAAAGTGAAACTACTGAGAAAAGTGTAAATGCAGAGGTTAAACCAACTCAACTAGCGTGCTAATTAACTTTTGTAGTATCTATTTTTCAAATAGTAGAATTTCAAATAAAATTACTTGGAGAGGGAACGACCTTAAGCGTTACTGTTGAAATATCAGATAGAAAAGTCTTGAGCTCTTCAGTCACACCACAAAATGGGTAGAACCAGCTGTTGCTTTGCCCACCAGCAGTAAAAAGAGCAACCTACAAAAACATTTTTGATTTATTGTATATCCAAGTCTAGAATAGATTGTTTTCAAAATTATAGGAGATTATAGAAGCAATTTACCGAGTAACCATGCTTCCCTTCTTTGTTTCCTCGTTCAACCTGTATTGTTCCTTTTAAGCCCACAACTCGCCAGAGTACCTATAGGAATCAAACAATCCAACTGATGCAAGTGTAATAGGCCATAGACAACTTAAATCATATTAGGCTAAGCTTAAAAATAAAAAGGAAAAGTAGTGCATTTGATTTGCTGTTTTCAAGCTATTTTTAGTTTTCAATTTGCAAAACCACCAAAACTTATTTGGTCTCATATTTCTGAAAATACATTTTCGAAAACAAAGTTAAAAGTTATAACATAAAACTTAAAGCACATTTTTGACGTTTTGAGTGAAAATTCTAAAAACACTCAAAACATGGAAAATAATTGTTTAAATAATATTTTAAAAATTATAAATTAAAAAAAGCAAAAGTAAAAGTAAAAAATTCCAATAAATAAAACTCAAAAAATTTTCACAAAAATTTAAAAAAATAAAAATTCCAAAAAATAAAAATAATTGATAAATTCTAAAAAATAAAAAATTTGAAAAAATAGAATCTAAAATTCTAAAAAAATTAAAATTTTAAAACCAAAAATTTCTAAAATAATATTTTTAAAAAATAAAAAATAAAATTATAAAAAATTCTTGAAAATAAAAATAGTTCAAGCTCTCAATGATTATTTACATAAAAACGAACAGAGATATAAATATTCTCGATCTACGTCATTAATTTTTATTTTTATTTCCTATATTTGGCCAACTCAATTTATTTTATTTTTTCTTTATTTTACTTTTGTAGCAAGAAAAAAATATGATAAGATTCACCAACTTTAAAATTTAAGTATGACTTGATAATATATTAACATAAAATTATTTTCAGGAAATAAAATGTCATAAAATAATTTCAAAATTTCTAATTAACGAGTTTTCTAGTTTTCTATTTTGAGAACAGTTTTTGAAAATGACAAAACAAATGCACTTTTAAAAATCTTAAAACAGAAAACTAAAAATTAACTCAAAGCTCCAAACATGTTGATCCAATGTTACCTTTCCATACTAAAGTGGAAAAAAAAAGGGTTACATATTTTGATAGTAACTCTTACCATAGTATCAAAATAAGCCACGTGCTTATTTGCAATATTCACAAATAAAAAGAATTATTTATTTCGAAAACATAAGTAAACTTTCTAAGCTTAGCTGAACATATGCCTGCCTGAAGATGTTAAAATACATTCTAGGTACGTCATACCTTGGGAGATCTTGATGATACCACCATCACGAAAACACCTGAACACCCATTCTCCAGTTGACTAAAGGAGATAAAAAAATTTCACCAAAAGAAATATGTCAAAGTTCAATTCTGACAAAAGAGATTACTAATAAGTCAAATCTTATGCTTAATATTCTTACATAGTTGAGGAGATAATATCTGGAGGAGGCAAAGTTGTATCTATGTGAGACGTATTGGCTGACACTGATGTTATCTCGCATCCAACCATCTTTAGATTTGCAAGAGCAGAAAGAAGTAAATCAAAGCCAAAATATATGGCTGGAAACACATTAGCAATGAAGCATTAACAATGTAGGTGTTTAACGACTTCATCTAAAAGTTTAAACTGTTAAAAAGAGGACACATTTATTCAATTATATTTCATATTCAACGTATGCCCCCCTTAAGTGCAAGCCTGATTTATTTTTCTAAAGGCTTGTAAGGTGCACAATTGTTATATAGGTGCTGGAAAATCTTGAACTCGGGACCTTTGTCACTATCATGTTGAACCACCTCACCCAAATTGTCTTCAGCCGAAGCCTGTTTAGATGTAAATTAATGCATTATATGCCAAGAACAGCAACGTCATCAACCAAAAGGGAAATCTAGTGCTTTAAAGAACTTTGAGAATTGATATCTATACTTGTCTCTATTTTGACTCGTGTTATTTATCACAAGGTGTACTAACGATTGTTCACTCTTCAAATGCAAATTCTATTGTGTCGTGAGCAAGAGAGAGAGAGAGTAGCACAGCCCATTTCTTTTGCAAGCAGACATAAATTTAATACGTAACATGAATCAGAGGAATGACACTTTGGGATATGAACTCAAAAATTGATTTCTTTGAGTAGGCGAAATTTCAGATACAATATGGTACAGCAGCGGAAGGTAGAAGATCAAGATGCTAGCTCTTGTGCCTGAATAATGCTAGTCCGAGCATAAAAGTTCATATGGTTGTAAAAGAAACCACAAAATATGTTCAAATTAAAAAGAAGATAATTTACTTACCATTCTCAATCCTGCAATGAAATGTACCCCCATATCTAGAATAAAACCCCCCTGCAAAAATGGAACATTTCAGTGCATTACCATGAAAGCTTGCTGGTTCGGTCAATCGAACTGGAAGAAAAGAAAAGTTGCTTAACAGAAAATCCAAAAATAAATCATACTGCCCGATACAATTTATAGGAACAACATTGCATTACAAGTCTACTTCATCAGTGTGCTAAGCTTGTACAAAAGTACATGCATGTGTCAACAGAAATTAACACTTGACCTCAAATAGCAATTTATGTGCAAATAGATATTTTTCACAGGTTCTTGTTGGTTCACAGAAAACGAGATAAAGAATTTAAAGGATTAATATAGCCTTAAAGCTGACTTTGTCCACATGTTAAGCTGATACAGAGGAAGTACATCTCTGTGTCAATAGAAATGAACACTTGTAACAAGTTTGTATTACTCACGAGTTTTATTCCATTTTTAACTTGATTACGAGCTAGATATTACGAGTAGTGAACGTTTTTAATGTATTTATTAGTGTTGCTTTGTAGAAGCAGTGAGATAGTGCAAGTCAGGGAAAGAAAAGAGAAAATAAGGCTATTGGCACGGATCAAGAAGAAAAGAGGAATGAAAGGGGCAAAATAGTCAAATCACAATATCAAGGAAAGAAAAGTGGCGCCCCGACGCCACGGGTCAAATCACAATATCAAGGAAAAAAAAGGGGCGCCCCGACGCTACAGCTCCACACCCTTGGCGCCAAGGCACGACAAGGTCGAGAGAGGAAACAGAAGTGTGGCCGCATGGCTGTAGATGATAGAAATCCATTTTTTGGCCCAATTTTGAGCCCACAAGAAACCCTACAATCACACAAACATGGAAAGGAGTATGAATACAAGTTATTGGCACTTTTATGGGGGGTTCCACACATTGAGAGGGGGAGAATACAAGTGGAGATTGATGAGCGCAAATCAAGGGAGAAACAATAAAGAAAGTTTTGAATGATTGATTGGAAGAGGAAGAGGAGGAAGAAGATCTTGGTGCAAGATTAGTCTCTTTTTCTACATTTTTATTCAAAATCCGGTGATCTATTCAATAACAACTTCTTGTTTTTCTTCCGTTATTATGAATAGTTAAATTTCATATTAGGGCCAGCAATATAATCTACTTGGGACCCTTTATTTCTTTTATTCAAGATTCTTGTTATTTTATCATAAATGTGCTGATTTTGCTATGAGTTTAATACATTGAATTACTTGATCATTAATTTGATGATTTTGTGATTTTTTTACGAATCGAGAGATGAGTTTGAAATTTAAATCACATAGTAAAATCCAGTAAATTAGCACGCGTAAAGATACATACACTAATTATTTCGATCATTATATGAATTCTTATAACCAATATTTCGTTTATCTAAGGTTGATTCGCATAGAGATGAGGGATTGAATTAATTAAATAGATTCGATGAGAACTTGAGTGGTAAATTGAATACAATAGAAGAATTTGATCGAACACTATATTAGATTTTTGAATCTTGATTTAAGATTTAAAAGTGATCAATAGGTGAAATTGTTCTGCCCTAATATCCGTTCATTATTTGAATTCTCAATCAATCTTTGTGTGCATTTTAATTAATTTCAAGTGTTTAAACCAAAAATTAACAACAAAATATAATTCTTTGTTTGCATTCATCAAATAGGAGTTAGAAAAATCTGATTAAATCCTAAAGTATAGTTCTCGTGGGAACGATAATTCGAACTCAAATGTCCACTATATTACTTGTTACGATATCGTACACTTGCGATAGAAAAAAGCAACTTGACACCTTGTCCAAAATGGTTGATGGTACAAAATTGGACATTTTGAAGGAGGGAGAAAAAGTGAAACTCTTGTATATTTTATTATCCAGATTTGTCCAATACTATGAACAAAACAACTCTAAATGACTGAATAATGCTATTATTACCAACGGTGCTAGACCTAGTTGTCGTTATATGATAAGTACAATAAAATTAATTAAATCAAAATTTGTGGAATCCATTTAATTGGAATCACCATGTAATGTCAACTAAAATACACCACCAGTGATAAATAACATTACTCAAATGATTTAGCATGTCCATTATAATTAAATATACAAATAATATTTTTTTCATGGGTTAGCTTAGCAGACAAGCTAAATAATGGACCGTGGAAAGTTGTACTCACAGTGAAGTCACGTCTCCAAGAACTTGAGAAGTAAGGATTTGAACTATTCATGGAACCTTCAATAATGACTTGAACATTCATCACATCTCCAATTTCAGCCATCATTTTCTTGCTCTGTGACAAAAAATGTTGTGTAACAAGCACCATATAAAAAATTTATAAAATTTATACCAAGTAACCAAAAAATCAATTTTAGAAATACCTCCAAAAAAGCAGGTTCAAAACGATAATTTTCTGCAATCGCCCAAATAGGTCGACTAGGCAGGGTGGTGCCAAAGGAATTATAGGATGACAATGCAGTTTCAACCTCGCTTATTGCTGAATGAGTTTCAACATACATCGTTCACACCACCCCAAAAAAACATAAACAGAGAATTAATCAAATAATGAACCAAGATGTGCTGATGGATACATGGTTACAATTTGTAGCATTGTGAAACTGCAGTTCTGGGGTTGCGGAACTTTTAAAGGGAAGATAACCAAGATGCAAATTAAAAGACGAGCAAAATGAACATAAATAGAATCAATTCCCATTAAGAGATGTTCGATTGATTCCACAAGTGTACGGATCACAAGTAATAAAGTGGAATTTTTTTAGTACGAATATCGTTCCCACAAAGACTAATATTTACTATCAACTTTTATTCCAATTCTAGTTTCAATTTAAATTGATATAGTAACCAATTAACAAATCAAGTGTTTATGTTTTAATTAAATTATACTAACCTAAACTAAATTAACCTAATTTATGGAGATTTATGGGATTAAATGGTTAGGAATTTCAATTTCACTTAAGTCAATTTTCCATTCATTTAATCCCTTTTTCATATTGCAAGCAATAGAATTTAACCTATTGTAGCTAATAATTTCTCTCGAGTAACACTAATCATATTCATGTGCCCTTGTTTTGGCTCCATTTTAATGAGATTTTAGAAAAATATATTTTGGAATAATAATTTTTTTTGAAAAAAATGTGGTTAAAAGGTAAGAATTTTTTTTAAATTTAAATGTAATATTATTTTATTGAAGAATATGTAATTGAAAAGAAAAAAGAAAAAATACATTAACCTTTTAATGGAGCCCAAACAAGGGTTATATAAATTCATACATATATGAACATTTTAACCTTCTATATAGATTGCACAGCCTATAATTATCTCTCAATTTCTTATAATACCTATATTATTTATTACACGAGCTAAAATCATATATCACGTCTCGATATCAATATTATCCCTAAATCAACAATTGGCGATAAAGCAATTGAAGCATTAAGCACACAATAAATAATAAACGCAAAATCAAGGTTGTTCAATTAAATTGCGAAATATAAAACATACGCTACATCGTTCATCCTAACAATCAAGAATTTAGAAAATCGTGGTATTAAAATTAAATAATAAAGGGATGAAAAACATCATCGGTTTCAACACAATAAAGAAAGAATTTAAACTAAGCAATTGCTATTCTTTGGTACCCAAATTTCAACAATGATCTTCAAGTCTTCCTTGATTGGTTGTATGTCTCCCAATCAATTGTGTTCTCCAATCTTCAAATTTCAAATTGAGATACAAATCTTGATAATTCAATGTAATTGGATGTATATGTATGCTTCAAGATTGTATCTCTAGCCTCCCCTAATTTTGGAATGAAAGATTCCTACCTAAATTAGGTCTAAAATAGAGTATCGAAAGGATTCGGAACCATAATCTTAGTTCAATTAGGATTATTCAAATTGCTGGAATTTATACTGACTTTACAATTTGGTTCATGTTTCTTCTTTCTTGTTCTGATTGAGTCCTTAAATTTTGCAATCAAGGTCCTACAATTTTCAAACGTGACTCCTTGGTCCCCAACTTACAAAATATGTCCAACTTTACTCCTTTTTTTAATCAATTATTGCTCAATTTCATCAATTCTTATCCAATTTTGATTTTTCCCCTAAAATTTAAAAAAACACACAAATTTAAGTATCTAGTTCATAAAATTACTCCCAGAAGCCAGGTTTTCACAGCCAAGTGTAATATTTACACTTATCGAGGGAGACAAAAGTGAGGTTAGTCATGAGTTTAACCATGTGATGGCAACATATAACTTTATTTCTTGAACTTTTTCTTCATTTTTTTTTTTTTATTTTTTTATTTTTTATTTTTTTTATTTTTTTTTGACTGCAGAAAAGGGTCCAACTGCAACACCACTAATGCCTTGTTTCACACCGGGTCATTTTAAGGTCGAAAATAAGTAAAGCTTATGGTCAATACCGTCCTATTTGAATATGAAATAAATTAAAAAGTGAAGAACCATGGATATATCTCAAAATGTAAGTTAACACAGAAAACCTTTGAAATCACATAAATCCAAACTATATCTTACTTACAAGATGCCGCAGGTTTTTCTTCAGAACCAGGATTCATCCAACGAGTATGACATGCACAAAGAGATGTACGATTAATTTACCTCATATAAACAATAATAGCTATAGTTTAACAAAGACTAAATTGGCATTGAAAGAAATTTTACAGTGAATAAACTGTTACTTTTTATCTATTGAAAGCACAATACATTCATGTGAACTCGCTCTAACTTCCTGAATTATTGAAAAAATATGGCCTTGTCTTTATGTTAAGTTAACTTCGTATGGAATTACCTTGAAGGACATGTTTTCCAGCCTTCAACAGCCTCAGAGACATATCCACCTGCATAAAATGGTTCAGTTGTGAAAGGCGATGTAAATTGCACAATAATTATTTAAGTGAAGTGAATATCTATCTCATTCGGAATAATTTGTGGAGTCTACTCCATCCACAAAGTGAGAAAAGATAACAGAAAAAATTCAACCACAGTACGATGGGTACGTAATTCTCAAGGGAATCGAACTTTTGGATATGATTGGTTTAGCAACCAATTTATCATCAACCATATTAACACATCAATATTTTCTCAGGCATGGATTTCATTCAAATATTGGATTTCTAAGCACCAACAAAAGCAATAATCCCACAAATATGAGAGAAAATATAGCCTATGCTGTTGTGGATGTATCTACAACTCCACGAGCCATTTACTTTGAGAGACTAAAAATGGTCAATGGACTACATATATATGCTCAGATTGTGCAAATTTCAAAGACAAAAAAGAAACATTCATTAGTCAGGCTTTACATCATACCACAAGGATTGGATTTTTGCACGTCCATAAGCAGTTGAAATATGAGACCTCTCCCCAAATTTCCAACTTATAATTGAACACACACAATTGTGAATAGCACAAGGCACTCAACCACCAAAAATTTCAGATAATTTCTAATGGATGAGGATGATCCAACATTTCTATTAGCATAAAAATAAATTGTTGCACACACACGCAGAGAAAGAGAGAGATGCCTGAGTTTGTCCAGCAAGAACGACGGCCACACCAATGATAGAAGAATTTTGAATAATGTCATCAAGTCCTGCCTCACCCCACTTACATTCCACCTCTGGAAAGAACTTCTTAGCAATCTCAACAGCACCTTTTGCCGATTCCTAACAAACAAATTGCCCAAACAACTTGTATTTCATCCTCAAACCCACTTTTAATTCCAGTAAATACAATAAAGAAAATAGAAATATATTTTATTTTCTTCCCAGATCAATTTCCAACAGTAGAGGTGAAAACAAAAAACGCCCACCATCCGCAAACCAGATAGTTTAATTTAATTACCAAGAAAATGAACGAAAATGAAAGAAAATCTGAATCTTTTTATGTGATCAAGATGTATATTTCCCAAAAAAAAAAAAAAGCTACAAAATAGAGAAAAATATGTCGACGTTTTTATCTAACCAACCACAAAATGGATGAAAATCGAAAAGAAGACTGATCCTTTTGTAACCCAGATGCAAGACATTTCAAGAAAATTCAAGAAAACAGAATAATGTGAAATAAAAGATAGAATTTTTTTTGTTACCTGAGAGCGGCTCCAAATGGCTTTAAGAATAAAGAGATCAGAGATCTCAGCCAATCTTGGAATATATGAATTTCTAACGAAAATGCCAGCTCCAAGTATGGCAATCTGGGGTCGTTCAGCCATTGGGGAAAAAATTCTGTGTGATTTGATGCAGCTGCTCAACTATAGTCAATTTGTTAGTAATAAATTTGATAAAAGCCAAATCGAATTCTAAAACGAAAACGTTGAAATAAGAACAGTATGCAGAATAATAAGAAATGCGATTTTCTTGAAGAGGAAACATGTACACCGAGCTATAGTACGAGAAAGATGAAAAACAACACTGTTTTAAAAATTTCTTAAAATGTATTATTTTATTAATCAAATTCTTTTTAAATAAAAGTAGAGTTACTTGTTTAAAGATGAATTTTTTTTCCTTTCTTACAATAATTTTGGAAAGAAATGAAAGTAAGCCAAGCCGAGCCTCGTATAAAATTGTGTAAATATGTGAAGAATATAAAAAATGGAAAACACAAACAAGAATAAAAATTACTTATTTGTTCAAAATGGATAAATTATTTATGCTCGTTTGTCTTTTACAAGATCAAGGGTCTAATATTAGTGATCTCGTAGAAAGTCGAGTTGACATTTGTCCAAATACGGTTCTCTTGATAAACTAGCAAAATTACAATCTTCTCAACTTGCCATCCATGTTTCAAAATGCAAACAAAGTATTAAAATCATTGTGTAGTGTGTTTAATCGTGTATCTTTGTTACTTTCTAAAGCTTCACTAGATGAAGTCGTGAAAGGTCTCTTGGCTTAGTATCGACTAATTAATGTAAGCACCCAACAGAAAGGGAAGATCATTAGGAAGAAATGGGGATCGTTGACCAAAACAATGTCGATGGCTTTGTGAAAAGAGGAAGGAAGAAGGCTCACCTAGACAACTTCAGTCTACTGGTACATGGGGGAGTCCAATAAAAGGCTAAGGAGCAAGGGGCACTCTCATTCTAACCTTTGCATGGTGCCACCATAAAGCAATAGCGAGACTCAAGTCGAACTAAGACATTTGTGCTAGTCGTGTTAGGTTGAACCAGGGTTGGTAAAGAAGATTGATCTGTACTTATCACACGTAGAAAAATAGGCCATGGTATTCTCACCTGTTCCACCATGGTGGGTTTTTTACTTTTTATTTATTTATATTATATATATATTTTTTTTTTGCTTTTGTGCTTCAGGAGAAAGATCTTTGATGCCAAGATCTTCTAGTAGACGCAGCCACCTATAGCTATAGTAAGTAGGAAAGAACTTCTTTATGTCCTTGCTTGCAAACTTAAAATTTGACGACATAGCATAAATAAAGTCCTCTGCCTAAACTACTACTGGTAGGAAAGAAAGGCGAACAAAGGAATTCAAAAGGATAGGTTAGCGACCGAGCAAGAGGTTAAAATTGATATAGAAGGGGTTGGGTCATATTCTCATACTTTGATAATCGGATAACTATCTCTGAGTACTTGCACAATTGGCCACGGCCCGCTGCGGTTAAGCCAGCAACTCACTCTACTCTATCATTCAACTGTGGAAGCCTGCCTTTCCATATATACATATATATATATAAAGAAGCTTGTATCGCTCAAGAATACATCAATGCCAATCTTCAATTGATTGTTACTTATTCAACATGTTTTATACACGTTTATTGACCAGAAGTAACAGAAATAGTATTTTTCAAAGATGGAACTTTATCATATAAAATCACAATCCATTGAGAACCTTCTTCGATGACAATAACAGTATCTTCCAAATATTAGGTAGTTTTGTATACACATACTCGTCCTTTCTTCACGTCCCAAACCATCTTTGCAACATGGCTCGTCTGTGGAGCTGCTGCCCGAGAAGAGTACGCGAAGCATGCTCCACATATTCGCGATGAAATGTTGAGCTACCTGAGAATAGCAGACTCTTACAGTGAGCTCCATGATTACTCAAACATTTGCAGGCTGTCTAGATTCTAGGATGGACAAGAAATGAATGTCAAATATAAGCTAAGGCCTTTCAGTAAGAAGTTCGATGAGGACACTGGCAAGGTAGAACCAAGGGGCATACTTCCACCAGAAACAGGTGCAATCCCAAGAGATGAGAATGACACGCGTACTTTACTTTTCCTCGAAGATGATTTTCAGCATCGAATAAATTCTCCAAAGAAGATACGTTATGTTCTTCGATTGCAAACAAGGTCAGTCCCAGATAATGAAAGCAGACGAGAAAATGCACTCGACATCACAAGCCATGGGATGAAACTGAGTTTGTCAAGTGAGAGTTAGCAAGTTGAATCTTTGTATTGTTAAAGAAAGCTCAAGTACCATATACAGCCTGAGGCTCTAAGCTAACAATTATGAATCAAAAAATAGTGTGCAATTGCAGTAGCTTATTTCCAATATAGTCTACTTGTGCCTCTAGGCCGGTACGCCAAACAAATCCATTGTCCAACACGGCCAGGTAGGGCAAGGGCTGTGAGGATCCAGTCGAACACGCCCGTAAAGAAGTTGGGTTGGGCCAGCTTGGGTCTTAACAGTTCAACCCACTTTACAGCCTAAGAATAACATCATTGAACATAATGGGGGAAAGGGGGGCATGCTGCGTAAGAGTTTCAAAATAGAAATATTTGCATAATTATCTGAAAATATTTGTAATTTTATAACATCTGCCATTATAATGAAGAACATCATTCGCGCTCAGAAATATTATACATTAGTACATTCGACTTGGGACTTGTACCATTTCTCGTAAAATTCACACAAAATGGTATTACTGAATGACAAAGTAGAAAAAATCACTCCAATAACAATCTAGGAGTCAGATAGTACCTAATGGATGAATCTGAAGACAAATATAGGACTAACAAAATCAGTGAATTTATCTACAGCCTCCAAAGGCTGTATGTATACATCCTCTCTAGGTTCCTCATTCACTCCAGTCTGCGTCGCATATTCCAGTGCCATCTCATAGTCGACCTGCAATTATATGTATGTCCAACAAAAATCGAGAAATCTCTAAGTTTTTGCAAGTAAAGTTCAATTTCTCAAGTGTATATTTAAATGTACAAGTTTGATGTTAGCAACTCTGTTTAATGTTTAACGTGAGAAATCCTAGGTGGAAGTAAAAAAATTACTTTTTTTTGTATTTTAAGTGAAAAAAGGTTACTTATTTTTGAAGGTAAATCTTAACAATAGTCAAAAAAGGTAACTCACCTTCAATTTTGATCAATAAAAAATTAATTACTAGTAAACTTTTTAAGCTTAGCCAAACATGCTCAAAGGCATAAAGAAATGCATGCGACATAATGATAGAGGCTTTCGGCGCAAATTGCGAAATTAGGTCCCTTCATACAAAATAATAAACATTCAGATTCGCAATATTTAAATGGAGACATGTTACACGTATGTCCAATTAAAAGCTTCCTTGCATTGGACGAGATATCAAAACTTCTCGTGTACTTTTTAGGGTGCTTTTGGTATACCGTATTGGTTTAAAGCAGCGATTAGGGAGAATTATAAGAATGTGGATTATATTGCATTGTTATAATGTGATATGGTGCCACACCTTATAAAAAAAATGCAAATATTGAAAAATAAATCATTTCTAACAATATTTTTGTCTAAGCTTAAAAAAAAGTTAAGTTACTTTAAAGTAACTTTTTTCTACAATATTATATATATATAATTTACTTTCTTACTTTTAAGTCATAAATTACCTTCTATAAATTCTTATGTTTGTTGCAAAATAGTAACTTATTTTGAACTTTGATTAATAAATAAGTTATTTATTTTAAAAACCCTTATTATTTTAGGTACAAAGTTTTTTTCCAAAAGGAAGCTAAAAAATTAAAATTTAATATTTGGCTAAGTTTCAAAATAAATAAATAAATAAAAATACTTTTCTTAAAAGGAACTCTTAACTGATTTTTAATTTTTAATAATAAAAAATTATTTACTTCACAACTTATTAACTGATTTGTGTTTTTGTTTCTTACTTTTCCTTTTGCACCTAATAAAAAGGATTGGAATGAATTACGATGATTGTGATGGTGTTTGTGTTTGAATATTCTCTTGACCCATATCCCTACTTTGGATTATTTTATCTGGTCAACATAGTATGGCAGAAGTTGACAGGATTAATTTAATCTAGGTATTATGGCATCTAACGCCAGATAGGATTAAATCTTATCCAGTCTAATATGGTTCGCCAAAAAGCAACCTTGATGTATAAGAAACTCATGCATAAATTAGTGATAGCTGGAACATGTTCTTGCTTAGTAAACATGAAAAAATTACCTGTTCCACATGTTGAGCAAGCTTTTCTTTCAATGTTTCTTTTGTCACTAAACGAGCTGAAACTTGATTTAGTAACTCTGCATCCTTGGCTTCATATCGTTTCTTCTTGGAAGCACGTGACTGCGACATATCCTTTAACATATCATATATAGCACTCGTAGCATTAGGAATATACCTGCAATTTGGTTATAAATAACATTAGAGTTTTCAACATCCATATCAAATTATTTACAATCTAATAAAATGACTGACTTGTTCAAACTCCGTTTTCTCTCTTGTTGCTCACGAGCCTGAATTCTTTTCACTATTTTGGATTTTAGCTGTGCGCAGCACTGCTGAATAGCGGTCTGGAGACATAAATGCTCTCTTAGTTACAGAAATTCCATTACCTTAAAAGGTTTTCCAAGCGACACGCATACCTTTACTGCGGAGGCTATTTCACTTATGTCATCACCAATGTATTCTTTTCCTGTTCCTTTGAAAGGAATTTTGGTGCTTACAATGCTAACAAAGACACCAATCTTATCTTGTGTTTGATTGATCTTGTAATTGTTCCAACTGCAAAAAGAGAGACAATTTTAGGTTAGCTTCGATTAAATATAGCAGAATTCACTTCTTTCTGTTCATCAGACGTGCAACTACAAGTTACTAAACAGTCTAAACCTTACCCCTTTAAAGATATTAAGAAAAAATTTAAAGAACGTAACAATGACTTGCGGTCCTTACAGAGTATCTTTTGCATTTCTTGAGCTAAATGTACTCTTACTTGATTAAAATTTGTAAATTAAACACGAGATAAATGTACTCTTACTTGATCCTCTTTATAGCAGTCCTGGTGACAACATCGGCACCTTGCTCGAACAGAAGTGGAATCCGGTTAGCGAATCGGAAAATATTGAGCCCCTAGAGTTCAACCAAGCCGAAATAAATTTTAATGTTGAATTACTAACCAAATAGCAGATAAAATCCAGATTTGATCATGTTCATCCCTTTCATGTGCGTAGACAGAAAAAAAAATAAAATAAAATAAAGATTTGATGCTTCAATACTGAACATAAGGAAAATCAAATTGTATAATATACTTTGAAATCATATGCTAAATAATGAGTGTGTGTCATTGAAGAGAATGAAGATTTAACTATCATGCCAATGTGTATCAGAACAATTATGCAAAATAAAGATCCATTCAATATTCATAAAAATGAGCCACCTGCCTGGCCACATAGAACCAATCAAAGGAACATGTATATGCGCAATATGTGCGGACAAAAAAATCATACATAAGATATGTACAATAAGTAGACAAGAAATAAATTTAATTCACTGTGCATTATTTTCTATAAATTCTAATATAAAGACTGATTATCCATACAATACACAAAACTTCAAGAACGAAAAAATAGTGAAGAATATAAAATTGCTGTATAAGCACTTTCTGAGATAAATACGATATCAATCCTTCAACTAATTTGACAAGATCAGCAAACGTAATCTGATGTAAAACGAATGGTTTTTATTTAGACTCCGTTTGGCAAGAATTTTTAAACGGTTTACTTTATAAATAGATATAAATGAGTGGTGGATGAGTGGATAGCACTTGTGGATCCATTGGAATGTGTGGTTAAAAATGAAGTTTGATCGTTTAAAAATGATTTATAAATTTTGCAAAACGTAGGCTTAGTTTTCGCACTGCTTATATTACACAACGTGGAAGATGACGTAACATGGTTCCATGCATGAGATGAGATCTCAAGGTTGGTGGAGCACCTATTTATTGGTCTTCTCACCCCACCCCCCCACCCCCCCTGGGTTCTCATCCTCTCAGAAGGATCTCTATTCTTCTTCTGACTTCTTCCATTTTTCTTTGAAAAAGTTGGTTACTATAAAGGGTACTACAGATTATGTACAAGAAACGAAGCAAACTCACCTGTTTAACATCTTTGCCACCCACACTAACTCCAGCTTCCACAATAAATGGGTGGCCTTCGAATACTTGAGCACTGCACAAGATGAAATGAATTACAGTCTTAACTTTTAATCTGAATCTTCTACATTTTCAAACAAAGTATTCGTCTCAACAGAAAGAATAAGAAAAATATGCCACTGTAGCCATAACCTTCCTGAATATGTAGCGACCATATCCGGATGCAGCTCCTTTATAATTCCTAAACGCAGATTGTATTCTCCCGCAGGACTAAGACACTGCAGATCGCTTGTGTGAAACAAATTAGAAGGGCTTAAATAGAGACATAAATGTAGGAATCAAAGAAAAATTGAAGTTACCAAACAAGGCAAAAGAATTGTTATAGAAAGCAAGCAGAAAGCCATGAAATGCATAAAGAAACATTACATTGCCACTGGGATCATCAAATTTGGCTTGACGGAACAACTGATGCATGCGAACAATTTGCTGTGCGGTCAGAGATTTAACAGGCATTTTTGGGCTGAATTCTGAACCCATTTCCCCTGAAACATAAAGATACATTCAGCCACTGATTGACTGGAAGTTTTTTGAGAATTACAATTATCCATTAGGGAGGTCAAATTTCACCCTCACATCCTTGGTCATTAAAGTAATTCTTGCTGCTAGTCAAGTTCATTTACTGTAAAATCATGTAGTTATGTCAAATGTGAATAGTTTGTCCTTAGTCAAAGCAATAATTGACGCTCCTTAAGTTTCACTAGCTATACATATCTGGACTTATACAAGAAACCATTTCTCCATGTCTTTCATACCATTTGCATTATAAAAGCCTTCTGTGTCACTGGAATACGATACATCAACTAGAAACAATCGGTTGCAAGTCTTACCAATTAATCGCTCAGCATAGGCTTTCCCAACATTTACAAACTCATGCTGAAGGAATTGCAATAGGTTCTGCTTTGAAGTTTCAGCAATAAGTCGTTTGATCAAAAGCAAATCAACAGCAGAAGGATGGTACTTTGTCTCCACAGGAATCGGAGGCATTATATCTGTCCTCCTAGCAAATCTTACAGTGACATTTTTGCTGAAATGAAAAAAATTATATATATTATCACTTGGTTTGTTAAATAATCATGTAATGAAGGACAGAGTAGGATGGGTTGACAAGAGAGTGAGTACTCTGGCGTTTCTGAGAGAAACTTGAAAAGAAATTGAGCATAGGGGGTGATGACAGCCATTTGACGCATATAGTGCAGTATTTTGGACTGAATTACAAACAAAAAAAGTAAGAAACTTTAGAAATAGTGCCATCATAGTGAACTGAGAAACGCTCTAGATTTAACATCAGACACAAAATAGAGTTAAATCAAGTATAGCAAAGGTAGATTGAATTCAAGTAAGATATAATAATCAAATAATTCATACACGGTAACTTGTCCAATTTCCCTCAATAACTATCTGAATTTCAGCTCCATGCCATCTTTCCTTGTTCTCTCTTTTCTCATGAACGTGAATGTGAGGAACATTCCTACAAATTAATGAATTACAACACCATTATTTTGCAAAATCAACGAAAAATAAAGTTATGACATCTCTGCTTGAAGTCTGAAGAATAGCTTTGCCATACCGATGAATATCTATATCCAGCCTACAAAATGAAGTGTAATTTTGGCTCTTCATTGATGAAGAGATCTCAATGGGCAGTCCTGTACTCATCTTGGACCAAATCAATGCCTGAACATTTAAAAGAGAGAGAAATTTTAATATCCTAACAGGAATAAAATGACACATCTGTAACAGGAAGCATAGCAGCTATATAATATGATGATCAAGTCAGCAGGTAGGCTTCAATTATCAATGTATTAATCAATTTTGAAGTATATAATCTTATATGAACACAGAAACACAGAGACGGACAGAGAATGAAATTTATACTTCAATGCCTTACCATCTTGGCACCAAGTCCAAATTTTCCGCGCGTCTGCTTCAGATCGTACTTCGTTCCGGATAAAACTGCACAAGAAACTCTCTTAAAAGGAAAAAATCATATCTTCAAGAGACATATCCTACTTGTAAGACCCTCAATGAAAAATAAAAAGAAAAAGAAAAAAGGTAATCAGATTCAAAACCTCGCCCAAACATATTTGGTATATCATCGTGAGGCATTCCTCTTCCATTATCCTACATTAGAAACACAGTACAATCAGGATACCATTTCTATAGTACAGACAATAACCCATTTCAACATCCAATAAGTTTCAAAACTTTATCAAAACCTGAGTGGATGGAACTAAATTGTACCTTACAAGTCACCCGGAAATATGAGGCCTCACGACTTTTCAAGGGCTTTGTAATCGTTGGTAGTTTGACTTTCTTCCCCACAGAAGCATTCTTTGCTTGAATCTCTTGAAGTCGTGCTTCCTTGGCAAGCCTTTTCTAAACATCAGAACTCAAAAGAAAATGAGACATTGTAATATAACCTTTATGTAGCCATCAATTTATGAACAGGCCGCTTTTCTAAACATTAATTTTTCACATAACCATCATCATGAATTCTAAACAAGTTCACTTATGGTCACCTACAAAATGTGTCAAACTTATTACACACCTCACGAGCCTTGACTGTCTCAAAATCATCATATAGTTCTTCATCAACTCGTTCATGATCAGCAAGACCAATCATGGAATTGAACTTGCTTCTCCCAATCTCTTCACTGCAACAATAAGAAATTGAGCACCAACATCAATAATATGCGATGTTAGAGCTCCAATGAAGATTACACATTACATGCATAAATAGTACTTACATTGTTATCTCTACAATGGGAAGTTCAGAGATTGACTCAGCTGAATCAAGCGAATTTTCAACAAGCTCTCTCACGGTAGTGTACAGACTTTTTCCTGGCTGAAAGCTCCCATGAAAAGAAAGATGACGGCATTGAAAACTTTACAAGCTGATAATTGCTTTATCAAAAAGGTTCCATTTTGCATATATGAAAAATTCAACCTCAAGCTTTTTTCTCTCTGAAATACATTAAACTCTATTTGGCCTTTCTACTTTTGAAGTATAACGAACATATTGTATGTTTCCTATTTTAAGTCCTGATGTACTAAAAACCTCCAAATGCCTAATTACCGAGACAACAATAATGACTTTAAATAAAAAAATATATGTTTTGATGCTTGGATTGCAAATTTTTTTTTTTTTTTTTTGTTAACCGTGGATGTCTGGGTCAGTTTACGCGCACCTCGACTAATCCAACGGGATCCTAAAATTTACGGTCGGGTACTCACCTCAGTGGCCCTAAGAGTCTCGAACTGGCGACCATTGAGAAGCAAACTCAAAACCTGACCGATTGAGTAACCCCTCGAGGTTTTGATGCTTGGATTGCAATATTCAACACAAAAATAATTTTAAAGGAATTGGGGCTGCAACAGGCTGAGTAGGGGGACTGCAGCAACATTGAATTTCAATTGCGGAACATGTGAAAACATTTTTGATGCATTTTACATGATGAGAAAAAAATTTCTCAAGCTGGGAAAGGAAATTGCATAAGAAAAGTCTACTTCCTTGTGACCCTACTTATCTTTTTGACAGATGGAATTTCTTAGCAAATTTTAATTATCAATGCAAATAAAGAATGTAATTGCTACCAATCTAATGACCAATCTCAGCACACCAATCGCTGTATAAACAAATAAAGCTTACATTGTCGAACCCAGCAATGTTCTTGTTATCTGCAAAAAACTCAGCCGGAGATTCTGCAAAACAATATCAAAACAGTAAATACAACAACAATAAAAAAACCAAGAAATAAGAAAGTAACAAGACATCAACATACTCTGTTTAAGAAGTTGGGCACCCTTGGGTTCCTTGGGTTTTCTGGGTGTCTTTGATCTTGACTTCTGAATTTCTGCTGGGCTATCACCGCTTCCTTCTGAATCCATCTTGAAGTTTTCGGACACAAAAACACGCACAGTGTGAAAATCAGATAATAGAATCCCTAAGGTGGCTTCATGAATTCCTCTCCCGCGCTATTCACGTCAATTTCATCAATTTCAGTAAAATCACAAATGGGAGTTAAAATCAGAAATGTCCATGGAATACAGATATTGGCCTCATAATGGACCCATATCATAGAGCCCAAAATTGTTGGATTACTGGGCTGACCTGGTTGTGTTGGACCTTAACTTTGGGCCACTTCTTAGCTTGATGGAAAAGAGATGATAGTATTTACAGGAAATTATATGGAACCAGAATTTTTAAGTTACCATTTCAAAAATTAAATTTTAAGCTTGTTTTTGTGGTGATTTTTGTGGTGGTTGTGGTTGTGGTGGTCACATGTTGTGCACGAGGCATTCGCGATCTGGTGCCAAGGTGTTTGGTCATGTTGCAATCTGCCAGCAATGATGGTGGTGGTGGTGGTGGGTTTCCGTTGATATGGTATGTGGTGGTTACTGTGATAGTGGTTTTGCACGATGTGGTGGTCATGGTGGTTGTGGCGATGGTGGCAGGGTGTGGTCACTGTGGTGGTCCTGGGTAGATGGGAACGGGGGATGTTTGTGGCCAATTATTTGGTTTATTGTGTGAATAAATTGGTTAATATGTGGCCAATAAATAATATGTGATCTAGAAATGTGATCGTGGGTCTCAATTCATTAAATTGTGATCTAGAAATTAATTTTGACTAATTAATTTGATAACTTGTGATCGATAAATGAGTGTTATGATCAATAAAAGTATTGATTTTATGACTAATAAATGAGTTGTGACCAATAAAAGTTTTAATTTTGTGATCGATGAATAAATTGTGACCCATTAATTTTTTGATTTATGATCTGTAAAAATTTTTATTTGTGACCAATTCGCCAAATCAAACTAAAATTACGATTTTGAAATCGTTGGTTTAGGTTTAAGTAGTTTACTATTGACCATTTCAATCAAACAAAACCATTTGGAAAATGTTTGATTTAAGTTTCGGTTATTAAAAGCCACTATAAATCAAACCGAATCATTCACCCAATTTAAAGACATTACCTATTTTACCCAAAATATATTATTTGTTATTTTAATTTATACTTCTAATTTAGTAATTTACTTGCTAGGGGGTCCTGTTGGCTTTTTAGAGAAATAAAAATTCATGATAATATTGTCTGATATATTATTTCATTAATGTATTTACAAGCACAAATTTTAAGCTTGAATTTTATACTAATTTATTAATTTAAGTTTGTATTGTAACAAATATATATGTATTATAATGTATATGTTTAGAATGATTAAATTTAAGTGTTATGTTGAGATGTCACAGAAATATATTTATTTTCAATTATTTAAAAGATGTTATTGCAATATCACTAAATTCGTAGTTTAAAATCAAATCGACCACAAAAAATGGTTTGATTTGGTTTGGAATTTTTTCGAACCGATTAATATTGTTTGATTTGAAAAATATTTCAAAAATAGTCCAAACCTAACCGTTGTTCACCTCTAAAAAAAGGCGTAAAACGTGGAGGTCAAGTCTCAAATTTTATGAGTCTAAGCATGCCTAGCAGCCTAGGCAAAGTCTACTTATAATAAAGCATTGCCCTATTTTTCATAATATTTATATTATTCTAGATCAACAAATAATATATACCTTGAAAATATATAGAAAATTTATACATTTCAAATATATATATATAT